TTAATCCTTCCATAAGCCCTCTAACATACAGGACGGCCAAATCATGTTTTCCCAACAGATTTAGAGTCTAAGTAGAAATAAGTTATAAATTAACCGTTATTTCATATTTAGTGCTCCTATAAAGCTTGGGCTATTGAAAATTAACACACCGCAAACTTCGAGATTATAATCTATAAAAATCGCCGAGTCGCACACGACATGAAAGAAAAGTCGATAATCCCGCGCTATCGCAACTACGAGTTTCGAAAAGTAGGGCTTTTCGAAAAATTCTTTACCCCATAGAGGAAATAACCGACGCGGTCCTTTTGACGAGTTATTTACAGGAAAATAAGTTCGCTTCTCGAATAGTTGGGCGGTAAATTTGGCGGGGATAATAACCGCCGACAAAATAGAAACTTCGTCCTATTCACGTGAACTCGAGGTGTGATTCGAGTTAAATTAGTTTCCCTTGTTTTTATAACTTCAATAAAATAAGTATACGGCGCCGCTCGCAACTCGCAACTCCCGAACTGTTACTTTGAACTAAAATAAATTGCTGATAAAACTTGGTAGTTTGTTAGATGTGTTGTTGCATACGTGCGCTTATTGTTTGATTGATAACAAGTTAGGTAAATCTCGCAGTTGCCACCTCTATTAGCGTACTTCGCTCTCAACTCCAATATAACGGCTAATTTACTATAACTTGACTTTCCCACCTCTATATTCACTGTAATAATTATAATTGTTTTTTTATCTAATGGAAGTATAAATTGATTTGGTTAGATTGATCTTTTATTAATTAGTTTTCAGAAAATTTGACAGTTTTTTAAATCTATTCCCAAAAATTTACACCCCTTATGAAAATCGAAATATTCTCCGAAATTAAATATTTCTATTAAACATAGCACCATATCTTCTAAGGGAAGTTTTTGGCGAAACACCCTACATGCGCATATATAGGATTTTCCACATAGTTTCACAATAATATCTATAATATGTATAGTTAGTTTAATTTATCGAAACTCATTTCAATTTGGAAGAATTACGACCGCAGCTCAAATCGTCTTAAATGCATATAAACGATGATATATTGCAATTCTCGAAAACGGTGACAATACATCCCTGGGAAAATTTTGAAATAGCACCGCGGAAATAGTACCGACTCGAAGATATTAAATTATACAGATACGTTACGTGTAGCCGAGGGATAATATATCGTGAAAGGATCTTATTTCGTGAGGGAACGAGAACATTTGAATTTCTCGTAAAAGTAAAACGTAATTCCTACATCGCATTATAAGAGGATCGTAATTTCCGAGCTGATAGGTTATGTATTAGAATCGAGAACGATATCGGTCGGGTTTCCTTTTATTTCCTTGTTTTAAACAGGGATGTACTATTACTAAAATATTAAAAATTGTACCTACCTAGTTTAATTTACCTAGTTTAAGCTCCATTCAGTTATTGTACATTTTTGTAATTCCACTCAATATTAAAAAAATCTTACACTATTTTAAAAAATTACAAATATGACAACGCCACAAAAGCGTAACGTCAGGTCAAGATCAGCGTGAATGCACTGTAAATACGTTCTTGTAAATTGTCCTGTTAAGTTCGTGTGGAACTGACAGAGGAGCATAAACTAGATACAAATACACAAGGAAAAATAATTTCGAGATAGACTCGTCCGGTTGACGAGGAAAAACGTTTTCAGGTAAAAATATAAAGCGGGCGAGCGTGTTCGGATTCTATATTTTATAACTAAGTTTCCGGCAAAAAGAAAACAGACGCGTTCTCGTCGACGAAATACGCCGTTCTTTAACATCTCTTGTAAAACTATTTAAAATTGGATTACGGCGTTTTAAGGAGGCCGCCATAAAAAGAAGCGAGGCAGGGAGGAAAAAATAGAAAAAAAATGGAAGAAACAGAAGCTCCGGCGAAAAGAAATTTCCAATTTAGAAGTTTCATGCGCAGGTATTAAAAAAGATTTTCATTAGGTGGGCGAGGTATTGTTTCGGCGGAACAATTTATCCCGAGAAATTGCATTAATTTCCAAGAAAATTACAAGGTTTTTAACTTACTTCTTATTGTAAACATTCGCAACAATTAACAAAAAATTCTTGCCTCCCATTTTGTTCCCTCGTTCGTTTTATTTATTATTTACTTAACAAACAGAATCTGGTTAAAATCTCAGTAATTTTAGGATAGTAACAACAGAATGTATAAAGTCAGTAAAATATTCTTGGCCAAGATAATATCAAAATAAATGTATATTTAAAAGGATTAGATAAATTTATTATAAGAAATAGGTTTCAGCAATTTATCTTTTGCGAATAGTATATTATTTTGAAGAAAATTACATGGTTTAAATATAAATTATTCTTCTTGTGTATGTTGAATGTTGATATGAATAAATAGAAAATAACATCCCTTTTTTCATTGACCCGTTTGTTTTATTTATGATTTCGAAGCCGTTCCTCTCCGAGCAGCTTTTCTGCTAAAAATCCCAATAACTTTACGGTTCAATTAAACTTAATGAATTTCGCGCCGGTCCTTTTTTCGTCGATTATCTTGTCATGGAAGGGCCGAACAATTATTAATTTGTTTTGTTCCATGAAAATTAAAATCCGCCGTCCGGATTCAATTATGGGGTGGAATTTATTAAACGCCACAGTGGCGAATATTTATCGATTTCCGTCAAAGTTAATTGAATTGTTGAAGTGGAGATGCGGCCAATAAATTTGCGGTCGAAACTGTTACGTTTCCGATGGCGAATGCCAGGGCGCGTAAGACGGAAATCGAATGATAAAAATCCACCCTGAGAGTGTTTACACGGAATGCAAAACAACTTTCGCAAGGACAATGCGGAAAATACGAAATAGATAACGTTTGGTTTGTTTGTAAAGGACGACTGAATATCAGAGGACCCGGTATTGTCTTGATGGCTTTGTTTGAACGAATTCATTCTGTTTACCAACGAGGGAAATTTTTAAAATTCTACATTAAATACCAGTCGATAGAAGTTTCGATAACGGTTTCATAATGCACGATTCCCTCAAAGCAGCATAAAATCTATAGGTATATGAAAGAGATTAAATAGTAATTAATGGTGAGAACTATCGGGCGATTATTTTTCATTACGACCCGGTTCGTATAATATTGGAGTGGAGTTATTACGGTAGACGTTCTGCGAATCGATCGGGAGACAAATTGCTCGACTACAAATCGTGATTTACCGAAAGATACTTCAAATTCTCCAAATTGATTAACTTCGAACTTGCGAGTTCAACGGTTAGTTATGAAGCGTACGCGAGTTAGGTATTTGTGTTATTAATTACACCGATTTACCTCTTACACAGCAATTGGTCCTCGCTGATAAAATGCACTCGTTAAATGCATTAATCAAGGCACTTTTATTAACAACGATTTAAATCAATTCTTAGTAAATGGGGCTGATTGTACATCGAGATTACCAAAATAAATTAAATTTAAACGAACTTTGGCTGGACGCCTTTATGGGCAAGAGGCCACTGTAGTAGGAGCAAAAAAAGGACTACGTTGAGCTCTATACAAACATAACGCAATTATAAGATTTATAACACATTTCCTTGGGATACTCTGTATATTTTTAAAGAAACCATTATTTTGGGGGATCGATAAATCCCTAGTGGTATATGATAATTGTAGCATTAAGACCAACGGTCAAATTACCGATAACAATATAAACTTGCCGGACTAATTAACTGATACAAGTCTATCGCCAGCCCTTAGGCAGTTTCTATCGAATATAATACTGTTTAATATCGAATGCTGTTCGGAGTTATGTTAATAAATAGATAATATAAAGGGTTGATATTCGATAAAATCATTTCTGCTGTCTTATAACATTTCGAACGCTCCTCGTAGTTTTTTTAATGGAGTCGTTTTGTTAACTATTTTCCCAACCCTTGTAAAGTAAATAACACTTTTTCTCGTTTGATCGAAATTTCGAAGGAAATTCTATTAGGGACTTTTTCCCAGCAGACGGCGAAAACTCATTTCATTCTTTTATGAGTGGCACATGTTTTTTTGAGGGTTCTTTAAATAGACCGACGCGTTGAATTTTAATTTTTAATTGACCGACTTTTCCGTACCAAACCTCTCCCTTATTTAACTCGGAATTTAAAATGAGTGTATAGGTATCGTGTTTTTGTTGGAAATTTGAATAACTGCTATGAATTGTATACATACATGCATGTTTTTGATCATAAAATGATTGTATAGCAGGTACTTTCAATAGCTAATAAATTCTACCTCTATTAATTCTTCTTCAACCCCAAGTTGATAATTACAAAAGCACAAAATTTAAGGTTTTATTTCCTAATCGCCTAATGATTGCCTGCAATTTAGTTTCCTTTGGAGCATCCTGTGCATTGATAAAAATATCAAAAACGATGTAACCAATAAAATCCAAGTGCAAAGTAATGGAATTTACACAACGTTATCTAACGCAGGTAATTTAAAATCAGTTTAGAGGCCATAAAATATCCAGTGAAGCTGTTATCATCACTCACGGCATAAAACAGCGAATTGCGAATGAAGATTTATGATGCAGTAATTTTTAAAGGGTTCTTAAATTTCCCCGCAATATTAAAATATGCAAGTAGAAATTAAATGCATCTAAATAAGGTTATGTCGTAGTAAATATAGCGATATTTTTAATTTTGTTAAAGTTACGAAAGTTTCGAGAGTAATTTATAGTGGGTAAACTCGAAAATACGAATTAAATGATAAATGAAAGAGAGCTTTTTTAGATACAAAAATTGTAACCTGTAGGAGAAAACATTATAGGAACTTCTCATCTTATATTTTCATGTTCTATCTGGATCCGTGAGATTTCCCACATTTTCCGGGACACCCTGTATAGCGATCACTATATGCTGCGCCAATACTAACTTGATAAATAAGTTTTATGAAGGTCTTACAGAATAGACACAATTTTTAATTGTTGCTATTTCTGACAGGTTTTTGTAGGTTAAATTCAATTTCTGACGTTTCGATTCGAGACTGAAAATGCTATCGACTTTAACATCTATTAGATAGTAAATGTCCAACGTGAAAAAAGTATCAAACCAAATTATGGTTGTAAGTGAACAATCTTGCGGAAGGCCTTGCACTTACTGTTTGCACGCGCTCAAATGGCTACCAGTTTTGTTCTCTTTGAGTTTATCGAGTTGGAGCTACTACGCCTACGTGTGGCAGTTTTGTAGGTTAATCATCCAGAATGAATTCAACAAATACATTTACCTAACCGTATTCCACGTTCTCTTGATCATGATGGAAACTTGCTACTTACGCACCATATTTACGAGACCCAAGATGGTTCCCGAAGAATTTTTGATACCCGAGAACACCCTCGAAGCCTACAGAAACAACCCAGATAACCGCGAGGTCCAGGCCGCTTTGACCTCCCTCGGTAGTCGCCTTCCCATCAAAACGGTCACTTTTCTGGGAGGATTGCGCATTTGCGACCATTGCAAGCTAATCAAACCGGATCGCGCCCACCATTGCAAAGTGTGCAACCGGTGCGTCCTGAGAATGGACCACCATTGCCCGTGGATAAACAACTGCATCTCGTTCACCAACTACAAGTATTTCGTGTTGTACCTAACCTACGCCTTTACGTACTGCTTGTTCATTATGTCCACCACGTTCCCCTACTTCATGGTCGCCTGGGGCGAGAAATTCCAAGACCAGACCTGCAGGTACCACGTGCTGTTCCTCTTCCTGCTATCTTCGATATTCGGCTTCGGGTACTTCACGTTGTTGCTGTACCATTGTTGCTTGGTATTGCACAATCGGACCACCTTCGAGTCGTTCCATCCGCCCGTGTTCAGAGATGGGGGAATCGACAAACACGGGTTCTACTTGGGCGCGTGCGCCAACTTCAAGCAGGTGTTCGGCGTGAGTTGCTGGAGGTGGCTGCTGCCGATTCCGACGAGCTTAGGCGACGGTTTGGACTATCCCGTTCGGTCGCAAGACGCCTCGAAGGAGTCGGGGTCGAGGTGATGTTTCAACGTTTTGTACGAGCTTATGATGTATTAATAATTTTCATATTAATAACATTCTTTGTAATATGAATAAAATTTGTATATTTGATTTCGTATCCTCATCATTCCTTCAATTACTTCCTGCTTTAATTATCCCCCAGGAACCATGTTGGTTCTTTTGGACCAGCACCCTTTGGTGGCATGTAAGCTGTGGCTTCTTATTCCACATATATGTATTAAAATAATGTGATAAAGGGACCAGTACGGCTTCAGAGAACATATTCATTATGTTCTTGGTCCCATAAAACAAAGTAAGAAACATGTTAAAATTCTATATTGAGTCAAGAACTTTTATGCCGGTATATTATTTACTTTGTTTTTTGGCAATTTTGCTCGTCTATAGCTATAAATTCGAAGCATATAAATCTCAAAAACACCGCCATTATATTTATAAATATTTCAGTTGGAGAATGTATTGCAACCGTTTATCAATTAGGAATCGAATAAGTGCGTGTTGGAGAGCTCGTAAACACCCCCTGCCTCTCGAATTGACCTCAAAACACTCCCCCACGAAAGCCTTCTCATCCGAAAACAATCGATCCGGCCACTTGTCGACCTCGTTAAAAAAGCGTTAGATTTACACTGAATTAACAACTGTATTTTACTAACAACCGTCCGATATTTAAACGAGCTCGCTTTCTGAAAGTTTTTAATAAATCCGGTCCGAGAGCGGGAGTGTGTGCATGCAGAGGACAAACCGGAGTTGTCCCATTCGAATTCTAAACGCACCCTCGAGAAGGTTCGCGCATATAGCGAACAAGAAATTTAAAACTCGCAAAACCGGCGTATAATTACACGATGGGGTGAGGCGCCGCAGCCCCCGTATTCGGCGAGTGTGCGGAACAGGCGTCACAGGCAGCTTATACATGTGTACATGGATTTGTGGAAAATGCACTCCGCTCGGTCGGTGAATATTATATTTTCACTCGCCACAAGTAATTACTCCTACGCTTCATACTCTTGCGGTTTTTCTTCGACATGCATACGTGTATTGAGATGAAGGGTTCCTGTTGGTCTGTTGGGAATTTACTACAATAATATCTTCAAAGGGGGTTCTACGTTCGAGGCTTCTAGAACGTGTATAGGAGATTTTCTATTAAATGTTCTCTCTTAATTTATACCGTTTCGTGGACTTAACGAGATGTAAGAGATCTCGATCTGGCGGTGTTTGTGAATTTACGCAAAATTGGAAACGTTTCTCGAGCAAGAAAGAATCCAATCAACCGTTTAGTATCCGGTCGCATTGCAAAATAAACATTCCCGTTTTATTTATCTCTGATAATAAAACGATTAGAAAACGCCTTTCCAATAAGAGGGAAAACCGTCGTATCGCAAACACGGAAATCGCTTCGAAGCGCTTATCTCTATTGATACAAACCGATATTAATTCGCGCCGGATAAACGTAAAAATTACATAAAACCCCGAAATTGAAACTTTAAAAACGCCGTACGTGCCGTATCGTTCTTCGGGTGTATTTCTACCGTTAAGAGTCCCCCCGTCGTCGTTACGCCGGATAAATTGAAAATAAACGACGGCGAATCTGTTGCTGCCGATATCGTTTCGGTTTCGATAGGATTGCCATTCGTCGCGTCTTCCTAATAAATACAAAGTTGAATTGAATAGCTATGGCGGTACACCATCTACAAATTACAACTTATACCACGTTATTACTAATCAAGCTGTAACATCACAAATTTAATATATTACACACACCTTAAGAATATTATGAGGAATGAACAAATTATGGCCATGATACTGATGAAAGAGTATCAAAGTTGTTGGAGAAACATGTACATTTTATTAACAAAGTTGCTCCATATTTTCACGATATTTTGGGAGCCCTTCTGCGAGTAGGGATAAGTAAAATGTGCGAAGATTTTTCGCATCGGAACCTCCGCGGCTATTTTTCGCTAAGCAGTTGAACATCTAAATCAATAGATCTCGGAGTTGCCGAGATAAACGCGGTCTCTCCGGCGGATTCTTGTCTTCTGTCGTTTGCGGATAAGCCCCTCTAAATAGCCGACGGGAAATTTATAATTTTCTTGCCGCAGCAAGCGCTCCGGCTGGTACATTCGAATTTTCATCGATTCGGCGGATGCAGAATTATCCGTCGAGTTCGTTAGCGTTCGTTTGCAATTTAAATGCCGTTTGTTTGGCCCGTTCCGGCGAGCGCTAAGCAGATTTTATTGGCAAATAGGTCAAAATAAGAAATTATTATTAAACGGGGCGTTTAAATGCCGATCCGTTCGCCTTGTAAGTTTCCGCGATAAAAATTTAACGGGGTATATATTTATCTATACACGGAAACTTTTCCGGGGCGCTTATCCGAACTGAAACGGAACGCACGAAAACGGTTCGGTTTCTAGCATGATGAACGGCAATAAAATGTTGACCTTTCGCCTTGACACTAAATTCCGGCGCGGTGCAGCTTTTATTTTTTCGTACCTGAAAAATAGTTTCCGCTCAAACGGGCGCGAAGAACAAAGCCGGCGAAAAGCCAATTTTCCAGTTTGTCGGATTCGACCGCGGCGGCAGCGTTGCGGAAAAATTATACAACAGCGACAGCCAGAAGGGTGTACACGCGTATTTAAAATGTCTGACGAGTGCGGTCGAATTGAGCCGTTTGAAATTTAATTTTTAGATTTTAACACGCCGAGTCGCTGCGATACCGGAAGGCGAATTATCCCGGATTATTATCGTCGAATCGGTTGTTGGATTGTGATTTCGCAGTCCGTTTGCCGATTTTCCAATTTCCATTAAGTACCTTTTTTCGATATCAATGAGTTCAAAACATAGATTCAGTCAGGCTTAACGGGAAAATTCACGATATTTGTCGAAAATAACAATATATACTCTAATGGCTTATTTTGAACTACAATAAAATACAACCTACTGCTTTTTATCTTAAGGTTATTAACAAAAAAAGTTACTTAACTCTTTCCACCTGACGATATTCTCCAGACACCCTTTAAATTACTTTGAACAGGACCGTTTTCGTTCGGCTAATTCGTTTGTTGTTTGACTAACCGCGGTTTCGAACCTCTCCAGCTAAACCCCTTAATAAATGTATAAGAGTCCATTGGAGACTGAAATTAGGATTATACGGGCCCCTGGACTCTGCTCTCTCTCTATACCCCGGTTATCGATACCGCTTCCTTCGCTAAATGGACCGTTAACGAACGCATTTCGCGGGGTTTACGCCAATTTCGAGCGTCACTCGGTGAAAAATGATAATTATATTCAATTTGCGAGGACCCTGGGGTAATTTATTCGAATATTAAACACTGAAAGTCGTCTTGAGTAAACTCGAAACCCTACGAATTTTAACGTAATAAAGTTTTTTGTTTAGGTATAGTACATTAGGGAAAAAATTAATATTTAATGTAATGTAGAATACAATGTGGGAAAAGTATTGTCCACTCGTATCTAGGGGCTTGATGATGAATATAACGTACCACACGTAATAAATGCATAAAGTTTGTATCGATTTTTGATCGAGTTTTGAATGCATTCGCTCGAAATTATAACCGACAGACATTTCCTTGTAGATGTAGATTGAAAATAACGATAAACGAACCCATTTACCTCTTGTTGCATGATATTCTACCATTCTGTAATAATACGTTGACCTTTTTGCGCAAATATCGACCGACAATAGATTTATGTTTGAACAGCGCATTAATTACATTTCGTTAGGTAAATATTATTTATATGCCTTGTTAGAAGTTGAGATGCAACCGATTCGATGTCCATGCATGTATACAGATACATATGTTATTTTACGTATAAATTAAGCAAATATGATTTAGCTAAACCGATCGATCGAATTAAATAGCACACGTAAACAAAATCACTTAGTGGATGCGATTTGTGTATATCAACTATTCGTCTAGCATTTAATAATTAAAATTGATGATCAGTTTAGTGAATTGTTTACAATTGTAATAAAGTGTTAGGAGATTAATTTTTGGTAAAAATTCAATATCAAAAGACTATTAAAATAGGCAAACATAATAAACTCTGTCATTGCAGATAAATTAATATCATTCATTAAAAATGTCGAGTATATTGAAAAATGTTTAAAATCTTAAGCGCTAAATAATATTTCATCAACAACGTTTTGATGTGCTTAAACTATAAATCAGACCATCAATTTCTATATAGGGAAATCCAACGCAACCCATAAATAATAGTTGGAAACAGGAAAATTGGACGACACCTTCCCCACTATCCATCATAAGTTTGGAAAACAGTCCGCACTCGGATCTCCCCGTGGAATTTTTATAACGATTTTTTCCATAAATCTCCCAAATCTATCAAAATGAGCAATCTTCGGAACGACTCGACTACCCAAGTATATAGACAACACTGGAAAACCGAGCAAGAATAATGATAAATTTCGAAACAATCTTGATCACAATCAGTGATCTAAATGTATTCATGTTAATATGACCATGATGTCATAAGAATTGATCTTTTTAGTAATGCCTCTCCAACGCTGTCTTAATAGGGAGGTAGTTGGTAACTTTGGATACCTCCATAGTGGAATGCCTATTATAATTTATGCAGAGAAAATAAAAAAAAGCGGAGTAAGTTTTGTAAGAAATTGGCACTTGCATTTTACGATGCAAAGGTTATTCGATAACAAGCGAAGTTTAGAAGAGTTTGCAACCGAAAACGGCGACTGCAAACATCCTTTTCTCGTAGAAACTCCTCTCGAGTCGCGAACACGTCCCTACGTCGCGATCGCACGTGAATAGAGTCGAGGGTGAATGAGCCGACTCCTTCCGCTCTATTGTGACTTACGAGTTGAATCGCGCAGGACTGGTTGGTTCCTGTTCCGGCTTAGGGCGCTGTTTATGCACGTTCGCCGACGACAATTCGCCGCACTTTACGCCCTTCGAGACACTTGGTTACGAGAACGCGTCCTATTTCATATTTATCAGTCCAAGAAAATTATTGGGCCATCTTTTATAGCTA